CCCCAAAACCCCAAAACCCCAAAACCCCAAAACCCCAAAGACTAGCAATTTATTGAAATCAGTAAATACAAAATTACCTGAAATTTTACTAACCCTAAAATTCTAAAACACTTCAGCTTCAAATTGTTGATAATATCCTAATAATACTTCCATCACTTCCTATCATCCAACTCTCTATCACCCCACCTCCCTACTCCTGAACTCCTCTCCTCTGTTCAAACCCACTAATCCTAAACATTAGCACTGATCATACCTCAACTCATCATCTGACTTAACCCCTCCAAACATTCTCTTTGTAAACTTCTGTCTTCTCAAATACTGCTCTAAACTCACTCAGTCAGGACCCTACCTTTCTTGTGCATGTTGAGTCCATTGCTCGAAATCTTGCTGAACAAATTCTTTTGTAGCTTCTTTCTATAAATAAGGGCTGGGCTAAGTAGGATGCATCGAACGACTCTTAAGAATCTCAAATTACTAAGGGGGACATACAGATCCATTATCATCTTCTGCTTCTGTTGGTCATCCCTGTTCTGAAGAACGATTCTTTTCTTGCTTAGGTTTGATAGTCTATAAATAAACTCAAATCTCGAAATATCTCCCAAGCAAAACCTTCCAGAGTGCACAGGAGATGTCTCTGTAGATCTTCACATTAGTCTTCTATTTGGCCGTATCCCTATACAGGGTAACATAATTAACTGGTGTTTATATAGGTGGGGAGGATTAAGAGAGTAGTAGAATGGTGAGCTGGTGGGTTACCTGCAGATTGCTCTATAAGAGTAACAAGTGGTATTTACTTTTAGCTAACAGCTTTTGTGCATTGCGGATCTTTTTTAAGAAAGAGAGGTCTTTCCTTTTGCTTAAATTCTTCTTTTTAGTCTTCATATCCAATCTGGAATTTAACTTTAGAGCAGGCTTAGGATGAAATATTGGTTTGGTTAACTTCTGAGTAAATCCAGAGTTATTAAGCAATCTACTTCCTAGCTCTAATTTTCTTCTGAATGCATTTGTATTGGGTCTAATAATCTTATCTTTTTCGTGATCTAAAGGCAATCATAAATTAAATAATGATGAATTACCTTGAAGTGTGTTAAAAACAAGTGATCTATGGTCACTTCTCACAGATTTGGATTTGTCCAGATCTATCTCTCCTGACACAAGATTTGGACTGGTCACACCATCCCTAAGATATATTAAATCTTAAATTTGTACTTTTCTAAGTCAGCATGTGCATGTGCAGTCTCGCTTAGATTTTTTCTTCTCTTTTGATAAGAAGTGAACCTTTCTCGATGTAAATATGATTTCGGAGAATTCAAGTTATGCATTGCAATACTATTATTCAGTTAATTTCACAAGGAATGGATTGTATTTGTATCAAAGCCCAACTGAATATCTTGAATGAAAGAAATTGGTAAGAATCTTATACTCAAATTCGAGATTTTATCTAAAATTCCAAATCCAGAAATTTATAAAGAGTAAACCTATTCTGATATTGCCATTAAGGTGTAATTCTTTTGTGTCTAAAAGTCCAAACACTCTATATTCTCACTTAAACCTCTTCATCTACAGGGTTATCTAAACCTTACATTCTGGAATCTAAATGTCTGTGCAAAGCTGGGTTCTGGTCTTCTATAAAAAGAAAGTTGTTCATAATTTTCTAGAAAATTTGACTGGTTCATGCCTTTTTGATAATAGTTATTGTTTTCCAAAGAGTCAAAAGAAGTATTTTAGAGAGGATAGTGATAAATCAGAATGCATCTTGACTTTAGATCCGAATAAAGTAGAAGATTTAGAAATCACAAGGAGTATTCCGGAAGTTTATTAAAGGAAAAGGACTTACTTTGATAAAACAGATCTGGAGAGCACACTTGTCTTTAGGTTGGTGGAGTCCACTTGATGCGTGTTTATCTGTAATTTAAAGTTAAACAGGCTCAAGATAATTTTTCTGGTGATATTTGAGATTTAGATACAAACTTTTCTTTTGGATTTATAATTACAGATAAAGATAATATTGCTAATGAGAAGAGATCTGCTTTAATTTTAATAGTTTATTTGGCCTGAATTCCTTTTATTATAAGATATCTTCATCAACTGAGTCTTACCTTGCAAGCTCTTTGGACATAATTGAGTATCGAATTTCTTTTCGGTGATAGCTATAAAAGTTAAAATCTAATCTCTAGAAATAACCCCTTTTCATTAACTCCATCTCTAATTCAAGTTGCTGAAAATAAAAATGTAAGTTCTCTATTTTTAGGAGTCTCCTCTATTGCTATACTTACTTGTCTAAACTCAATCTCTTCAACTAAATCCTGCTCCAAGCCTTCTTCACAGGGATTATCTATTTTCTGTCCATTATTAAACCTGAAAACATCTGTCTCTTTCTTAATAAGCTCAGGTTCTTCCCTGTCAACTCTGATGATGTGGCTCCTGACTGATTTGGTAGAACACTAGAGGTGGTGAGGTGGCTGGGCGAGATGAAAGATGGTGATTAAGTTGGGTAAAGAAGTCTGCTGAAAATGAACGTTGTGAAATTTTGAGGGTGGAGTTGAAATGTGAGAAATAGGATTGGAATGGGAGGGTTGACTATGGGAAATTTGAATATGAGGGTTTTTAGTTTAATTGGCATTGTTGGGAGAAGAATTTAGAGAAGGAGAAGTGGTACCTCTTCATTAGTGATTTCCATTTTTTGCAATTTTATTTCAATATTATAAAAAACAATCGGGGTTTTGGGGTTTTGGGGTTTTGGGGTTTTGGGGTTTTGGGGTTTTGGGG